GCAGCTGGCTTCTGTTCATCTGACCTACAGTTCTTAGGACTTGAGCTAGAGCTTACCTGCGGTCTTGGGATTCGTTGGTCTTCGCAGCCTGTGAGCAAGAGCCCTCCTTGCTGACCTGCCAATCTCAGGTTCGCCAGCCCTGGTGGCTATGTGAATCAGCAGCCTCCAGCCTGAACCACAGACAGCCTCTACAACTGCTTGAGCCATTTCCTAGATATAAATCTCTCTCTCTATATATTATTATACACTTTACTGGTTTTGCTTCTCTAGAGAACCCAGCCTAAGACAGAATTTGGTACTGAGAGCGCAGGGTGCTGCTCTAACAGATACCTAAAATGTGGAAGCAGTTTTGAAACTGTGAATGGGTAGAGGCTGGACAAGTTTTAAAGTGCCTAATAGTAAAAGCCTAGATTGCCTTGAAGAGACTGTGGAATTATAGACATAAAAGACAATTCTGCTGAGGACTCAGAAGGAAGTGAGGAGAGCTGTTACACTGGAGACAGTGCAGCTAGCGAGAAGTAGCAGCAGAAAAATGGCAGTAGAACCAGGAAACCAGCATGAGGTAGCGCTGGAGCAGAAGCATAGAGCGAGAGAGCTGAGTGTCTGCGCAGGAGGCTTCCTGGAAGAGTGGGGTGCCTCCAAGCACTTACTGGTGGAGTAAGGCTTGCTGACCCACAGAGCAAGAGAGCTGAGTACCTTCCAGCCAAAGTTTCCTGGTGAAGTAGGGTGCCTCTAGGTACTTATTGGTGGAACTAGAGTATTGTAACACTTGCCCCAGCAGGGCAGACAAAGGCGGTGAGGCCCAAGGGGCTGAGAGGCCAAGTAACCAGGAAGCAGAAGCTGCAGAGACAAGAAACACAGGAAGCAGAGCTTCCTCGGTCTCAAAGGGTAGGGATATGACCTCTAGGGCTTCACAGGGTGGACCACTCAGATGGACTAGGAGAATGGGGCCACCTAAAGCTGAGGGAGCAGAGTTGCTGTCCCAGTGGGCCTGGAAGGTAGAGCTGAAGCCCAGGGCCAAGGGGCCTCCACTCAGAATCCAGAGAGCATGGCCAATACCTTGAGTCTGGAGGGCAGGGCCATTATCTAAATGGTCTCAGAAAACAGAGGATTATTTTCAATCCTTGAGGGCTAACGTAATGTGTTCTGCTGACTTGCTTGGTGCCTGTTGTCTCTTCTTTCCCTCCAATTTCTCCCATTTATAATGGAAATATCTAGCTTGTGCCTGTTCCATCATTCTATTTTGGAAGCAGATTACTTGTGTTCTAGATTTCACAGATGAAGAAGAATTTTTGGATTTTGGACTTGGAGTTGATTTAAGACTTTTGCTGTGATATGATTGGGTTAATGTGTTATACATGTGACAAGGATATGACATTTTAGGAGTCAAAGGGTGGAATATTATGGATTGAGTTGTGTCCCCCAAAATGTGTGTCAACTTGATTAGGCTATGATTTCCAGTACTGTGTGATTGTCCACCATTTTGTCATCTGATGTAATTTTCCTATATGTTGTAAATCCTACCTGTATAATGTTAACGAAGCAGGATTAGAGGCACTTATGTTAATGAGGTAGGAAACAATCTACAAGATTAGGTTATACCTTGAGTCAATCTCTTTTGAGATATAAAAGAGAGAAACAAGCAGAGAGATGGGGAAACTCATACCATGAAGAGAGCAACTCTGGGAGCAGAGTGCGTCCTCTGGAGCCAAGGTTCCTGCTCTGAGAAGCTCCTCGACCAGGGGAAAATTGATGACAAGGACTTTCCCCCAGAGCCAGCAGACAAAGAAAGTCTTCACCTGGAGCTGGCACTCTAAATTGGGACTTCTAGCGTCCTAGACTGTGGAAGAATAAATCTCTATTTGTTAAAGCCATCCACTTGTGGTATTTCTGGTATAGCAACACTAGATATCTAAGACAGTATTCATGGGGCAGATGGATTTTTCACTCATTCTTTACATTTGCTGACACCTTTAGCTTCCTTTATGGTTGCCTTCTTGCTGGAGTTCTTAGAGTTCCCATCCCCCACCACTTATGACACCACAAGTAGGAGGCTAGGAACACGATGACTGCCTACTGAACTCTATAAACTGTAAGGTGATGTGCAGTGATTATTATTTTTTATACTGGAAGCTCTTGGAGGGCTGGTCCATGACTTATTCTTCCTTGAGTCCCTCATTAGCCCCAAAACAAAACCCATTGCTGTGGAGTAGATTCCAACTGATAGCAACCCTATAGAACAGAGTAGAACTGCCTCATAGGGCTTCCAAGGAGAGGCTGATGGATTCAAACTGCCAACCTTTTGGTTAGCAGCTGAGCTCTTAACCACTATGCCACTACGGCTCCTGAATCCCTCATACTATCTGGTATATAGTAGATGCTCGATTAAATTCTGAATCCAATCTCTTTTTGTTTGCATGTTTTCTGAAGATAAGTCCAATATAATTCTTATCTTTGTTTCTTTACAGTTGAGATGTTTTTCCCCCCTCTGGCTTCATTCAAGGTTTTACCTTTGTCTGCAGTCTGAGTATGATATGCCTAGGTATAAAGTTTTTGGTATTTCTTCATGTGTTCTCTGAGCTTCCTAGTTCTGTGGTTTGGTGTTTGTCAGCAATTTTGGAAAATTCTCAGCCATTCTTACTTCCAATATGTCTTCAATTTATTTTTGTCTTTCTTCTCCTTCTAGTATTCCCATTATGCATATGTTACATCTTTTAAAATTGTCCTACAATTCTTCAGTATTCTGTTTTTCTTTCTTTTTTTTTCCCAGTCTTTTTTTCTCTTTGCTTTTCAGTTTGGGAAGTTTCTCTTGGCATATCTTCAAGGTCACTGATTCTTTCCTTGGTTGTGTTCAGTCTACCGATGAGCTCATCAAAGGCATTCTTCATTTCCATAACAGTGTTTTTTTAAATTTCTGGCTTTTTTTAATTCTCTTTGCTTACATTACTCATCTTGCATGTCGTCCACTTTTTCCACTAGAGCTGTTAGTGTATTAATCATAGTTATTTAAAATTTCCAGCTTGATAATCGCAAATATCAGCCATATGTGAATGTGGCTCTGATGCTTGTCCTGGCTCTTCAGAATATGTTTTTTGCTTTTTAGCATGCCTTGTAATTTTTGCTGAAAGCTAGATATGATATATCAGGTAAAAGGAATTGAGATTCTTTTAGCTGCAATCCCCTGTAAAACTCTGTTGATGTTGACGTAGTGGTAAGATATGAGGAGAGAGGAAGTGTTCTATAATTCTATGATTATGTCTCACTCTTTTAGTGAGCCTGTGCCCCTGGGTTGTGACCTTCACAAGTGCTTCTCAGCTTTTTTCCTTCACCCCTTAGGTGGACCAGGAAGGCTAGAGGGGGCTACAGTTGGGTATTTTCCTTGCCCCATTTCAAAGGCTAGAAGGCAACTGCAGTTGATGATCCCTTTCTCCCACACGGAAAAGGCTAGAGAGAGTTGGAGTTGTGTATTTCCGTTTCTCCACTTTGGTTAGCCAGTAGCAGTTGTCATCAAGTCAGTTCCAACTCATGGTAATCCTGTGTGTGTCAGAGCAGAGCTGTGCTCCATAGGTGTTTTTTTTAGTGGCTGATTTTTGAAGTAGATCACCATACCTTTCTTTTATGATGCATCTGGATGGACTAGAACCTCCAACTTTTTAGTTAACAGCTGATCTCATTAACCTTTTACACTACACAGGGACTCCCCACTTTAGTTAGGCTCTGATACAACCCATACTGATTAAGCTTTCGTAAAGTAATATCATTTGAGGGCAGGCTGTTAAGAACAGAGAACTATTTCACAATTGCTACTTTTCCCCTCCTCCTTCAGGAATCATGAGGGGGTTTGTTTCTCTGAGATTCACAGTGAGAACTTGGTAGGGCTCCTGGAGTTAAAACTCATGAAAACATGTCCCCCTCTCCCCCTAAGGCTGGGCCTCCAGGAGTTTTTATCTTTCAAGATAGTCCATACTTGTCTCCAGCAATTAGTCAATTACTCTTTTCAGTATTTCTACCCGATGCTGGGTCTAGTAAGTCTCTGCTTCTAGTAAGCAGTGATTCTCTGTATCAGCCTGTCTATCTCTCTAGTTCTCTCTGCTGGATCTAAGAAACTTATAAGTGCTCAGTAGTCACATGTTGCTAGTGGCTCCCTTATTGGACATACAGCACTAAGGCACTGAAATGAACCAACCTCAGCTACGTGTAATAACATAATGAATTTTACAGATATAATGTTGAGTGAAAAAACAAAATAGAAAATAATATATGTGATATGATTCCATTTAAAGTTCAAGAAGAAGCAAAATTAAACCATGTTGTTTGTGGTTGACATATAATAGGTAAAACTGTATTTAAAAAAGCAAGGAAATTATTATCATAAAAGTCAAGATAGTGGTTACCTATAGGGGTCAGAGAGAGGACTGTGATTGGAAGGGGGTACACTGGGGGCATCTTGGACGCTAACAGTGTTCTTTCCTGACATAAATGGTATTACATGGTGTTTGCTTTATGATATTTAACTGAACATTTATGTTTTATGTACTTTATGTACATTTTAGTTCTCAAAAACATGAATAGGGCAAAGAGTCAAATGGCTTCACTTGCAGCCCTGACATAGTTCCATGTGGGGCTTTCATAATGAGATTTGGGAAAAGAGCAGAGGAAACGGCAGTTCTGCCAATCTTGGTGCCACCCAGAGTTGAATTCTAACAGAGACTTTGTGATCTAGAGAGTAAGCATTAAATATATGATTTGGTGGGAAGAGTGGATAGGGATGTGTGGGGTGGGGACAGAGGAGGGAGAAGCAGGGAGATGGACACAAAGGAGGACATGAGAAGAAAGGTTTGAATGAAAACAGAGAAGAGGTCACCATCCCCGAATTAAATACAAATTAGAGTATTTAGGTGGTACCATCACCCTGGTTCCTCCCACATGTAATAGTCCTATGTAGCAAATAGTTGTAGTTAGTTTGCATTAGATCCACAAATAACCTTTTCATTTTCCAGAATTCTCAGTGACAATCATTTGACTGAATTACGTAAGGATTCATTTGAAGACCTGCTATCCCTCCAGTATTTGTAAGTTAGTTAATCATATTTATTTCTGAGTTTTTAGTTACATATAAAATGAATAAGGAGCTTGGATTAGATAATCTCTAAATTTTTTCCAGCAATGTAAGTCTGCAGTTCTGTAAGTCTATAGGGTACCAGCCCATCTCTAGCATTAAATATCTCCTGTGAATTTCCGGTTTTATAGAGACAAGATACAGATAGAAAAAAATCTTTAGTTATAGAGGAAAAGTGGTAATAAGGTCTGAAAAATTATAGACACCCATATGAACTTTGTTTTATAAGTGTCCATATACAATGTTTATATTTAGTCTGCAGCCTATGGTCTGTTTTTATAGCACCCATAAACTAAGAACGATTTTTGCATTTTTAAAGGGTTGTGAAAGAAAGAAAGAAAGAGTATGAGACAGAGGCTGTCTGTGGCTGGCAAAGCCTAAAGTATTTAGTATCTGGCCTTACAGAAAACATTTGAAAAAGTTTGTTTAATAGAACAAAAGGAATTAAATTTAACCTCTGTTTGTTGTCTAAAGGACAAGAAAATATAGAATATGTACATTAATTTGAATATTATTAACCCAAAATTTTTTGATAATTTGATTGAATTAAGTTAACATATAAATATTAAATATTTAATGAAACAGTTGAGATATGTAAACAATATTATAAAGGACATATTTAGCTACAAAGGACTGGTGTTAAGGATTTCAGTGCAAGAATTGTTTTACCATATTACAAATAAATGTTTAAAATGATGGTTAAGTAGTATAGCTAGAAATGTTCACACTAAGTAAACATATCAGAAATACCCCTAACCGTTTGCTAAATACAAAATAAAAATCTCTCCAGCCCTTTTGCCAAGGAAGGAATACTTGCATGGTATTTATATCTATTTAGAGACAAGGAGATACTATGTCTTTTGCTATGAAATCTTGGTTTTTATCCTTTGTCCATGAAACCTAGAGTTGTGTGCATCAGTAATCCTTATTAAGCTATTTGATGATGCTCTTTAGCAAATGGATTCTTCTTACAAGTTTAGAAGGCTTAAGAGAATTGGGGATAAAAAGCCTCACATGATACTAAAAGTAGTCCTTTGAATTATCAAACCTTTTAGGCCTTAGTGGGACGACCAGTTTTGCATTGATCTTCTTGGACACCTCTGGCATCTGGGCTCCCAGACCTTGCAAAGATGATCTGGAGAAAAACAAATGAGAGAACTGCTCAATGGAGCAGGCCCTTCCTTACTTCTACTTTGAAATACTTTGTAAGCTAGTTATTTCATGTTAGTATATGTATTCTCATTCATTAAAAAAAAGTCAATCAATAAAAAAGTTAAAAACAGTATGCCAAGCACTGTGCCTAGGGCTGGTGGTACAAAGATGTGTAAGACAGGGTTCCTAACCTTCTAGAAACTCCCGATGTGGCAGGGGAAGCAAACACATAAGCTCGAACCATAACATAATAGGCTCTAAGTGGAGGACTAAGTGCTGCAGAGCCATGAAGTAATAAAAGTAAACTTTGTAAATAGTCGTTTTCCTTTCTGTTGCCTTAGCTATTCATTCTTTTAATAAATAATTGAGGTTGCTTTATGTCCATCTATCAGTTTTAAACATTGTAGGCAATGCACATGAGCAAGACCTCGTCTATGCTTTCAAGGAATTTACGCTCAGGGGAAATGGGATACAAAGATAACTATATTAAAAAGAAGAAATAGATATGGGCACTGAGAGGTATAAATTGTTTCTGGAGCACAGAGTAGGGAGCAAAGACTTTCAGTTGGATCAGGGAAGATGTTACTAGAGAAATGCCATTTGAACAGGGTCTTTAAGGGCTATTGGGTATCATCAGACAGACATCTTGGGAAGAATATTGTAAGATTGCAAAAGGAGGGTGAGAGAAAGGCAAAACACAGGAAGTGGAATGTGGGTTTGAAGAATGTCATGAGTACCTTTGGATAAAAGTAGAGAGAGTAGGAGATTGGAACCGGATCTTCTAGGCTTTGAATGCCAAACTAAGGAGCCATCATGGGGAACCATGTTATCACAGCAATGCTCAAGGACAAGTGGTTCTCAAACTTTAGTCTGCATCAGAATCAGGGCTTGTTGAAGCACAGATTCTGGGCTTCACCCTCATAGTTACTGAGTCAGTAGGTCTAGAGTAGGGCTAAGAATTTCCTTCTTCAATAAGTTCCCAGGTAATGGTGCTCTTTGAGAACCACTGCTGGAGAGTTAATTTATGTGCAGGATGGATTAGAAAGGGAGAGCCTAGAGTTGAGACACGAGTCAGAAGATAGCTACACCCATCCAGGTAAAAAGTGAAGGACTAATGTGGGGTAAATGGAAATAAAAGGGTTAACTATAGTCAAGAATGGGTGTTTTCAAATAAAAATCCAGTTCTATGTTGCGTTTTTCGTGTGCCACCACTGTACAACTGTAGCAATTGCATTCATGGAACATTAAGGCAGTATAAAACCAAACACAAATTTCTATTAATATGATAAAACTATTATTCTAAATTAGTTCAAGATTATGTATTTATTAGAGGAGTAACTCCCTTTCAAATTATGTCAAAGGGTATCTTTTATTTCGTCTGGTATTGAGCTGGCCTAGAAAAAGAGAACTAAGCCAGGAAGGTGTATAAATGTGAGAATATTCCTTTTCATATTATAGATTATAATTATACTGAGGAATAAAAGCTTTAAGCTCATTGAATATAGACTTTGATGTGACCACAAAAGATCGTCTAATCAATTGTCCTACTCTCAGGAAAGAGTACTTCCAAAATCTATCAAGATCCATAGTTGTAGATTTTACTTATGAAGGTGAGACTCTTAAGAGAGGTAAGGGCAGGGTTAGGGGCCTTGGAAGGTTTAGATAACAATCACTAAGGTTGAGAGTTTAGGCAAAAGCTTATTCAGTATTATTCTGAACTCTGCCATTTATTCCTACTAATTTAATATCTGATAGCTAATTGAGGCTATATTTTTCTTTTACTTTTCCTAGAGATTTATCCTGCAATAAAATACAGTTTATTGAAAGACGTACATTTGAATCACTGCCTTTTTTGAAGTTTATGTAAGTTACAAATAGAAGTTAATAATATTAAGAATTTTTATAAAATCTAATTGTAAATCTTTTTGCTATTCATTTTGAAATATTAAAGTTTTATTAGTGGAAAGCTACTAAAGTTATGTAGCAAATCCTTTTCAGCTCTAGCAAAGATTAGTGTGAGAACTATTATACAGAGAAGAGTAAATCATTCTAGAGCAGTGGTTCCCATCTGGGGCGATTTGCACCCAGGGGACATTTGCAGTGTCTGGAGAGACTTTTGGTGATCACAGCTGTGACTGTGCTGCTGACATCCTAGTGGGAAGATGCCAGGGATGCTGCTGAGCATCCTACAATGCACAGAGCAGCCCTCACAACAAAAAAAATTGTTGTTGTTGTTGTTATTAGTTCCCGTTGAGATGGCTGTGATTCATGGCGACCCCCATGTACAACAGAACCAAGTGTTGCCTGGTCCCGTGCTATCTTCATGATCACTGGAACAAAAATTTACCTAGCCCAAAATGTCAACAGTGCTAAGGTTGAGAAACCCTGTTCTAGAGAAATAACGATCACTTAATCTAAGTTTTATCATTTACTGTTTTGTACCTAATGCACCATATGTATAAATATGAAAGTATAAATCATAAGCAAATATCTTCCATAATGAGATTTCCTTAGTATCTGGAGGAAGTATTGAAGTTACTTTTCACCATAGATAAATTAGAATCATTGCCAAAGGATGGATGTTCTGAAATAATTTTTTTTTCTCTTTCTTGTGTCTGTTTTTGTAGAAATCTTCGTTGCAATTTAATCATAGAAGTTGGCTTTGGAACATTTCAGGCCTGGCATGGGATGCAGTTTTTATACAAGGTGTAAGTGAAATAGAAGACGGATACATGTAAAGAGATCATTTATGTGTAAAAATATCACACAGTATCATTTAGCTGTATATATAACCCAGTACAAATTCTGAAACATGTATGTCTTAAGATCAGTTTTTTCAAATGAGGGAACTAAGGTACAAAGAGGCCAAGAGACTTGTCTAACTCAAATGTGGCATGCTCTGCTTTCCCTAGTACTAATCTTTGGCACGGGCTTTAAAAATCACCAAGCCAGTAACAGACAAATCAGCATTGTCATGGGAATTCCAGTGATGCTGCTTGGGTGTGTGGATGGGCCTTGGAATTCCACCTTTGAATTTAACTTGGATTCCAGCTCACATGTAAAGTTTCTCACTGCTTAAATGTATGCAGTGTTTAACCACAAAGCACAACGCTCAGCACAGAGCCCTCCAGGGAGAAAAAGTGAGGGTGCTTTCTCAGCCATCAGCTTCTTTGAGATTGTAAAGTAAAAGGAATTCCTGGAAACCTGCCAGAGTGCACTTCTCTTCCTAGCCACCCAGAACATTATTTTTCAAAAAGTATATACATTTTTCAAAAAGTTAGGAATCATCTATGCACAGTAGGAACCTTTGAAGCATGAAGAAAGATGGTGTTTATGTCAAGCTATAGTGTGAAAAATGTCAATAGAGAAAATACATTGCTCTAGCCTAATTCCAAATGCCTTCTTTCTTGACTGCTTCTCAAACAAGAAGTGTGGGTTTTATTCCCTTTCAGCTAGAAAATTCTGTGATTTCTCTTTGACCCAAGCAAATCATAGTGGGTATGTTCAATGGCCTAACGGGAATTTTGGACAAAGGTCAAGCTTCGCCCCTAAATCTGACTTTGGAAAAGACTGTCTCATGGTTCAGGAATCCGTTTCACACAGTTCCTTTCAGGTGTGTCTAGAGCCGGATTAACAGATCCTGCAGATGCCAGTCTGTAGCCACCCCCACCCCACCCCCCATTAATTTGCTGATGCTGAACTTGGGGAAAGAAAACTTAAGGGTCCCTTTTTCTTTTGCCAGCACCAGAGGCTCTTATGAAGAGTCTATGATAAAAGACCAGCGAGGAGGGTCCTTAGGTCCCACCACCAAGAAACTTTGGTAGCTTCAATAACAATGTCATAATGTTCCTCATAAGAATTCAGTTTTCACTATAGTTATGTAGGCAACATAGGGGGGGAAAGTGTGGAATCACACTTTAATTAATGAAATCAATCAAAAACGTTCACTGAGTGTCATGACCACTGTGTACCAGCCACTGTACTAAGTGCTGGGGGTACAAAGAGGAATAGGACAGGACTTTGTCCCCAAGAGACTTTCAGGCTGGAAGGAGGAAATGGAGGTTGATGGGAAAACACAGAAGAGCCACACTAGGATCCCTGCAGCAGGGTAACAAAGTAGGGGGATGACAAAGGAGGGGAAGGGTAAACCCCAAAAACCAAACCTATTGCTGTTGAGTCGATTTCGACTCATAGCAACCTGGTAGGACAGAGTAGAGCTGCCCCATAGGGTTTCCAAGGCTGTAATCTTTACAGAAGCAGACTGCCACATCTTCCTCCAGACTGATGGCTAGTTAAAAAAAAATTCTTTTAGTCAAGGTTATTGGTTCTAACAATACAAGCTCCATGATTTTAAAAACAGAAGGACTCTGCAATATAGAAGGGCTTTTCTTTATTCAGATAGAGCACATTCACGTGCTGGCTTGTCTGTGGCGCATCAATGTTGTGCCAAGAACGTTCGCACCAAGAGAGAATAAGAGGAAAATCCAAGCCTTATCCCTGTTAAATTATTTGCCCCACTATTGACAATACCAATGAGGTAGGTGTGGCCACACTTTGAAGGCCAGTAGAGCTTCATCCCAGAGATGCCCCGCCACTCCCCCAGTCAACTAGCATCGAGACACACAGAAGATAACACACTTCAGGATGCTGACATCACTTTTTGGTATCTATGGCCCCGGACACCGTTTTAACTCAGCACTGAATTCACTCCCGAGGTTCGCCCTTCAGCCAAAGATTGGACAGGCCCATAAAACAAAATGAGACTAAATGGGCACACCAGCCCAGCGGCAAGGATGAGAAGGCAGGAGGGGACAGGAAAGCTCGTAATAGGGAACCCAAGGTCGAGAAGGGGCAATTGTTGACATGTGGGGTTAGCAACCAATGTCACAAAACAATATGTGTACTAGAAGCTAGTTTGTTCTGTAACCCTTCATCTACAGTACAATCAAAATATATTTTTCTCTTTTTTTTGTTTATTGTAGTTTACGTGAAAGTTTACATTTCAAGTTAGTCTCTTATACAAAAATTTGTACATACCTTGTTATGCAACCTTAATTGCTCTCCCTATACTATGACAACACGCTCCTCCTTTCCACCCCTGATTCCCCATGTCCATTCAACTAGCTCCTAACCCTCTCTGCCTTCTCATCTCACCTTTGGACAAAAGCTGCCCGTTTAGTCTCATGTATGTACTTGAGCCAAGAAGCACAGTCTTCACAAGTATCATTTTATGTCCCACAGTCCAGTCCAATCCTTGTCTGCAGAGTTGGCCTCAGAAACTGTTTTAGTTCTGGGCTGATAGAGAGTCC